TGCTAATTGCTGCCAGTGGGTGATCCTATGAGAAACTATGAAACTTTAGCCAGAATATCGAGGCGAACGAATCGGTCGAAAGCCAACGTCGTAATAAATCATTCACGAACTTTATATTATTTAGTAAATCATGTTCAATAATCAAGATCTGATTCCGTTTCATTAACTTCAAATTTCGCATTTATTGTACTCAAAGATTGAGAGGCAATTTTGTTTCATTATAATAAAAAGTTTATAGAGACTTTGTCGTAAACATTAAACATGCTAAGAGATTATCATAATTTAGTCAATCGTCGTCATCGGACAGAATGCTCTGACTGGTGACTTACATACATTTGTCGATAATCATATCTTTGATACAACGCCTGGTAATGGATTTCATTTTATATCATTTTGTTTTGAATTTATATTGCTCGGCCATTCTGAATTTATTCTTCTGTATTTTGTACTGTGATCAATTAAATTGTTTTTATTACGTATAAGTCTGGGAACTTAATTTGCTTCTCGAACAGCAAAAACTTTTATCACTCAATCACCGCCTGTGAGAACTGGCTCCAGACCTCCAGATTGTGGGTCAGTCGCCATTAAAAAAGTATTTCTGCCAAATTAAGGGCTCCCAAAAATATGCTTCGGTAGCGGCAGAAACAACATCTGATATTACCATGATCACCGACGCTCGACAACCAATTTCGACAACGGACCTTGGTTACACAAATCTGTCTCGCTTCCTCCTACTAGTTTCACTGCAAAAGAGCGAGATAGAATTATTTCTTACTGTTTTTATTAAGTTCCTCGGCTCATTTGCATGCACACGCGACGCAAGCGCAGCTCTCCGTGTTCGGGGTTAATAAGACGATATATAAATACGATAACAGCGTAACAGCCTGTTGGATTCCTATTGACATTTTGTTAATATGTCTGTTCGTGTATTATCATTATATGGTGCGCTGTTTTATCGATTTACAAATTTTTCGTCGCCAGACATTTATTCAAAAATGTTATCTCTTAATGTTGGCTCAGACAACTTGTCGTGGTTTTGCTCCAAACTTCTGGTGTCCTGCAATGAAGTCTAATCGTGATGAAGAGCTAAACCCGTCGGTATCTAGGCTGATAAAGCTAATGTCTCGACCATGACAAAAAACGTCTTCTATCTCTACGGCACAATATCTGTTTTTTCTTCAGAGTGATCGCGTATCGCAATAAAGGAAACAAATTGTAAGTTCTTGTGTGCCCTGAGTTATGGCGGTCTATCGCATATCATCCACTTCAATCTAACCTGTTTTTCCGATTCCACGGAAGTATCCGATAAACAAATAAATTATTGTATTGTATTAATAACTAAACAAATAACGAGTGTGGAACGTAATATAGAATCACGTTTGTACGACACTACTGGATGCAGAAAGCATGGCTCATAGAAACGTCTATTCACAGAAAGCACGTTTCGCCGAAAACTTTATTGTTAGAAAATATTGTTCGTAGATATCTCGTTCCATAGAAAGCACTAGCCATAGAAATCTTTATTCCTAGACAGCTCGTTTTGCCGAAACCTTTGTTGGTAGAAAATACTATTCGTAGATATTCTGTTCATAGATAGAATTTTTCACCTTGATTCACAGAAAGCAAAGGTAACTATGAATATGCATTATGAACAAAATGGAAATAAAGGTATTTGTTTGTTTATCCTAGATAAAAAAAAAAAATTTGTCATATGAATAAATCTGATATGTTTTTTCTGTCTCAGAAAAATCCGTAATAATACTATTGTTGTTATGTGTCTATAATACAATTTTATATAATAAAACAAAATATACAGTCTTCAGATAATAAGCTGCACTGTCAGTTTCTACGTAGGTTAGGTGATATTCTGATAGAAATAATAACTAAAAATGAAAAAAAATATGCAGCTTAGCATTTATGGTCACTAATTTTGAAGCAGATATCTTTAACCAATTGAGATAAAATTGTGTGTGCACGTTAAGTTTACGAGACATAAGTGCATATTTTTTTAAAATTTTTAGTTGTTATTTCTATCAGAATATCACCTAACCTACGTAGAAACTGACAGTGCAGCTTATTATCTGAAGACTGTATATTTTGTTTTATTAAAATTGTATTATAGACACATAACAACAATAGTATTATTACGGATTTTTCTCAGAGACAAAAAAAACATACCAGATTTATTCATATGACAAAATTTTTTTTTTATCTAGGATAAACAAACAAATACCTTTATTTCCATTTTGTTCATATGCATATTCATAGTTACCTTTGCTTTCTGTGAATCAAGGTGAAAAATTCTATCTATGAACAGAATATCTACGAATAGTATTTTCTACCAACAAAGGTTTCGGCAAAACGAGCTGTCTAGGAATAAAGATTTCTATGGCTAGTGCTTTCTATGGAACGAGATATCTACGAACAATATTTTCTAACAATAAAGTTTTCGGCGAAACGTGCTTTCTGAGAATAGACATTTCTATGAGCCATGCTTTCTGCATCCAGTAGTGTCGTACAAACGTGATTCTATATTACGTTCCACACTCCAAATAACAAACAGTTCAGCTGCTGGAGATTCAATGAGCTACAAATCATCGGAGCCCACAATAGAGCTGCGCCCTACGTCGCATCGACTCGATACTATCGATAATTGTGAGATAAACTCGACTATGTAATTAGAGATGCTCTGTAAACATAAGCTTTACGTGTAGGTAGTGGATAATTTCAAGGCATGCAATGATTTTAATGTTTTATTGGTACTTGATAAGAAACTTTGTAGCTGGAATATAATAGGCCCAAATCAACCCATGAATTTCACTCAGAATATTGAATGAGTTAATTAGATATGATATTGAAACGGACATTTTACGGAAAATAGTATGAGATTAAATCATTTCTTTTCACAATTTCAGAAAGCATGAGTAAATAAAACAGATGATTGGAAGCAGCTCACATAATCACATGTTAGACTTTTACGAGCGTGTCACGCACTCATTAAACAGTCATTAATGCAAACAATAAAACCTGTTCAAATCTCACCTTTTTGCTCACACCGTAACAGTAAAACAAAAGTCACACCCACGCCACGTCGCGGTAGAAATAGAAAGTGTGGAGCAATGTGGAGCACTATTGCGTGGTACACCATCAGATGTACTGGGAGTACTGAAGATTATGGTAGACCTTACTGGTAACATTGAATAGCTATGGTGCTAGTAGTGATCAAGTTATAAGTCATTGTGTTAGAGCAGTGCTAGGTTGTCTTAATGAGTAATATCCTGATGTTTTGATTTTTTTATTTTTTTTTCAAAAAGTCAAAACTAAAAAGCAAAAAATAACTATTTTTAGTACTGATAGGTTACCCACCCACTGGTAGGTAAGAAGTCGGTCGGTTGTTTGTTATTAGTTTTTGGTTTTTTGAAGTCGGTTTTTTAAACGCAGTTTTTATTTTATTATTTTATCATTTTAAGTGTAAAGCTACATATAACTATGGAAATGGGACTATCTCGGGAGTATACCCTTTCAAACCAAACAAGAAGTTTCGAAATCGGTTCATAAATGGCGGAGTACTGCGCGAACAAACAAAAAAAAAAACAATCAGCCGAACATAGTACCTCCTTTTTTTAAAGTCGGTAAAAATATATTTGCATAGGTAGTATGTATGGACAAATAGAACCTTACTTAGAATGAGATTTAAAAGTTAAACTGTCAATAAAGTTTTAAAATATTAGATTTCGCCAATTCAATAGAGAGTCTGTATTACCTTGATGGGACTAAAACCTGTAACAGCTAAACAATAGCTCGGCGTCGTTGCAGTTAGAAATCCAAGAATTAATGCGATTATAAGATAAGTCACAGAGTTGGCACAATATGTCATCATAATCGCGACAGATTCCAGAGCGGGTAATGATGGGCGCAGAGAGTTATGGCTGATAGTATTTACTCTGTACGGTAGTTAGATAGCAGTACAAACATGTTAATATACGTACCTATGACGTAGCTATTCCATGATTAACCATTTATCCAAACTTGTCGCTTTACGGGACTTGAATATAAAAATAAACGTATGCATACATTGCTTCATAGAGGCCAACAAATCCTTCTGGCTTCAACGACAATTGTAATCAAACATTCGATGACGTATAAAACTTTCTGAAAAACATTTACTGATCTTGTACTTACGAAATGTTGATCGACTTTATTTGTACGAACAACTAACATACACGAATATGGACGACATTCTATATTAGTAGAGAGATTTTCATGTTTGCACTGTATTACTACCTCTACAATCAGATCAGGCGACTGACGCTGTAGTAGGGAGAGTATCAATGTTTACTCGTATTACTTAACAGTTTAAAAGCTTCTTGTACTTATAACACGTTATCGTAATCGAGTTTGTTTACTTCAACGTTATTTGCAAAGATATGCAAAGTACGAGTCTCCGTCCCAGTCCGCATATTGTTTGTTTTTTTCTACAAATTGTATGTTTTACCGTAAACCTATATGGTCGTTTGTACCTACAATAAGCTGATGACTTAAAAACCAGTGTGTAGACTGATTAACCCGTTCGCAAGCTTAATGTTTTCAATTCAAATGACAATTAAATCGCAAAAAGCATAGCACCAACGTACCATGTGAAGACAATTGAGCGTATAAATCACGTAGCAAAATGCCAGTGCACAATAGCTCGGAGTGAGGTAACTCTGAGGATTGAGTCCGTTGCAGTGCGCTGCGGTACATTGTGCAGGTAATGACAGGCCGTGAGTGATGGCGCCCGACCAGGCAGCGACGTGTAGGTGGGGCTTCAAGACTGTTGCGGTGCACCCAACCCTAGCTATTATAATCGAAATAACTGACGCGACGTGCTAGCCTTCCATTTATAGAGTTAGGGATGACCTTCAATTGTTTGATATTTTTGATATTATCTTCACAAACGTATACGTCATAACATTCTCATGCATTCCCATAATAAATGAACAACTCCCAACAGCAGCAACATGTCAGCAACCGCCACACGACATGTGAAGTCGTCCAATTCGGCGAACATCCTTATGTGCAAACAATGGTGGAAAGTGTGTTGGATGTACGGCGACCAAGAGAAATACTACAGACAGCTTTATGGCAAACGGAAACTCAACAACATAAATACAACATTCATAAACTTTGATGAAGCAGACACCAAAAGGCCAGGCGCACAGATCACAGAACTTACAGACGATTTCTTTGAAGATAATTGTTCACAAATAGAACCCGCGCCAGACGAAGTAGACGCTCCGAAAGATACAACTTTTGGAGCAGAGGCCGACGCTGTCTACGGCTTCGATTACCAAACTAAGTGGCAGAAAGACCAAAGAAGACAACCCATACAACAAAGTTACGATGAATATATGAACACTACAGATCTAGACAAAATATTAAATACAAATCTCAACGCGGATAGTATTAAGAGTATGTTAGAAAACGGTCTACCTCAAAGATCTAAAATTATTGATGCAAAGGAAGAAGTGATAAGAAATGGGAACACAGTGGGGAAAAATTCTAGGACAGTTTGTAGGACGAAAAAGGGTGCGTTAGTTACTGAAGAAACTGAGATCTCAACTGATGGTCGGACTTTAGCAAACCTGAAGTTTCAGAGGTCTACAGTAAAGACAGGTCCTAACAAAGTGAAAGAAGTGCTTCAGCCGTTGACGGAGGACAAAGTGTTGGATGAGTGCTCTCGGAAGAAGTGCATCGGAGACAGACTGACGACCACCACCACCACGCTGGTGACCGTGACGCAGACGTCGATGACGTCGTGCAATGAGTGAGTATTACTTGATCATTTTTATTTTATCACACTATATTTACTAGATGCTTTTTCAGCTAAACATTTGTACGTGGATGTAATGAAATCATTAAATCATGACCAGTCCATGAGGCATGACATAAAACTCATACAAGTCTATGGACAGTACCTGAAGCAACTTCCTTTTATTGGCAATTTACTAGGTAATCTAATATCATCACTGACACCTACGCATTAAAGTATAATTTCTCCCACGGTGTATTTTGCCACAAAGCCCCGTTCTGATCGTACCGGCGCAGACGCAGCCGCACGCAGTTCCGGTAATGACGTTATTGGAATCCGCCATGATTGCGGTCTCGTGGTTTTGGGACATGGCAGGGACGATGGGGATGTACGGTTTCATGGAAATAATTATAGCAAGAGTATTAAAATTTTAAGCCTTTAAAACGTGAACATTTTATACGACCAGCTGGCGCATACATATATATTATAAATGTGGTCCGTCTGCAACAAAAATAATAAATAACTCGGTAGCGGATCTTATATGACTACTGCTAACTAATAAAATCTACGCCAATTAGCATAAAATCTTCACAAAGCTATAGGTAATTTTATTTATATTATCACATACCACAAAGTAAAAGCCAATAAAAAGCCGCCATCTTGAAATTGACAGCCCGCTATAAAATGAGTTGCTACGTAAAAAAAGATAATTCCATTCAATAAAACAGTAGATTGATATCGTAAGATTTATTACTGCGCGGGACCGATTTAAAACGAACAATGTAATCCAATGCCCCTTAATGTGAACATTTAACTACATGTTGTAGTGTTGCCCTGTAATCGAGGTAATACCTTGAAATCTAATTTACGAAGATCTTTCTTTATAACACTTTAATGACGGTAAATTCTAGAAAAAATAACACTTGACTAATCAAACCTACATAGCGAACAAATAATAATAATAATCATAATCAATATAAGCGCTAGATGCGTACACTAAAATATGGCTGATACGGAAGCTCGGAACCTATACTTTCGCCGGTAACGAAACCATAGCGCCATCTAACTCGATCCTAACGCCATCTATCGAGCGTTGAAACAACAGCGTACAATATATTTGCTAATTGTTGAGTATTGTTGCCACTATGGTTTCGTGTAGGCCTTTAACAACCTAAAATCTATAAAATACGCAACTTAATGTAAAATGGTTGGAACCAAAATTTAAAAGCGAAGAATACTTAAAAAACACATCGCTATTCCACATAGACACCAATTTCGTGTACCTTTAACAACCTAAAATCTATAAAATACCCAATTCAATGTAAAATTGTAGGAATCAAAAAATAAAAGCGATAAAAATACTTAAAAAACACAACGTTACCCCGTTTTACAAACACTCAGCGGACTCTATCGCCAAGTAGCGTAACTACTACATTAGTAGCGTCACTAATTTTGTGTACCTTTAACAACCTAAAATCTATAAAATACGCAATTTAATGTAAAATGGTTAGAACCAAAATTTAAAAGCGAAAAATACTTAAAAAATAGCGTAACTACTACATAGACACCAATTTCATGTACCTTTAACAACCTAAAATCTATAAAATACACAATTCAATGTAAAATGGTAGGAACCAAAATTTAAAAGCGATGAAAGTACTTTAAAAGCACAACGCTACCCCGTTTTATAAACACTCAGCGCCATCTATCGCCAAGTAGCGTAACTACTACACAATGTTACCACGTTGTGTTTTTTAAGTATTTTTACATATAAAATAGCAAATAAATGAGTCGAAAAGCGCACTGAATAAGTGTAGATTAACACCAAATAACCGCTATAGATTAAAGCGTGAAATTTCCAATTAGTAGGTAATTCGTTGAATTGTTTTAGATGGTACAAAGCGCCATCTACAGGAATACACACAGCGCCATCTATACTAATATTTTTGTTTTCCCTCGGAAATATCACATTTTTCCGGGATAAAAAGTACCCTATTATTTAATCTGGACTTCTAACTTTACGTCTGCAAAATTTCAAAGCAATCGGTGTAGTAGTTACGGCGTGATGGTGGAACAAACAAACAAACAAACAAACTCACTTTCAGATTTATAATATTATATAGTAAGGAGTAAGGATTGGCTCACGGTTCCGACTTCAATGTAAAACAAGCTTCGCTACAAGTTGTTTATAGAATAAAACGTCTGTTTGACTACGAGATGGTAGAACAATATTTGATGTGCAACATTAACTATAGATGTAGTTTTTTTTAAAGTGTATGTATTATCTATCAGTATGCTATCGTACATTAATAAATCTGCCGAAGAAAGAGGCTTCCGACGTAATAAGGTCTCTCTTTTCAACATCCTTCCTTAATGACTCACGACGCTGTTTAATTATAGAGCCACTTACGAAATTGCTCTCATTACCTATTACCTACTTATGTAAGATTGGATGTAAGACTAGTAGGCATCTAGTTGTGGGTCCTTAATGTTAGGAAATCATATGTGTAGAATTAACAGTCGTCGTCGTGATCAACCATGTATAAAATAGCAGGTTATGTATAGAAAACTTATAATTTCTCATAGAGACATGTAAGAATGTGCACAGGAATTACCTTGCTTATTTAATACACTTTTTACCTATTTAAGTACGAACAGTCATCATGATGTAGAGGCAGGATGTCGAAACTAGGTTCATCATCAACAGCCTATGAATGCCCACTGCTGAGCAACGCCTCTTCTCCTCCTCACATGGAGAAGGTTTGAGCATTAATCAAACTTATAATTAGAAATTATAAGCCCAGGTTTCCTCTCGATGTTTTCCTTCACCGTTTGTCAGTGGCGTCTATATAATCTTAGAAAGTACATATAACTCGGAAAAAGTCACATTGGTACCTACTTGCCGTTGGTAGATTTTGAACCTGTACCCTCATGCACGAGAAGCGGGCGTCTTAAACCTCCGGGCCACCACGACATTCCTCCGGTTAAACTAGGTTACTTTAGGTAAATCAAAAGTTATACTGGTGATACCAACAAACGAGTAAATTCCACATGTCGCTCTCTTCTTTCTTTTAAGTATTAAAACTTAAGATGTAACAGTTCTCGTAGTTTGATCAAACCGACGTTATAAGTTTGTGCTGTTTTGATGTCAAATTCCAGGTTTGATCTCGTGTGACATTAAACCGTTACTGTTGTTATACTGTGAGCCCGACACTTCGTGCTCTCACCAACATTTCTTTATGCTTGTATTCGTAAATGGAATAGAAAATTGAGAATTTCTATAGGTACAAAGTTGAAAGACAGTTTAAAAAATCATGCAAAGACATTATTCTAAAAACTCATACAAAGTGTATAATTGGTTTTAGAAAACAGACATATTGATAAACACACACTTTAAAATCAATAAATACCAACGTTTAGAAAATACATAATGCATTAAACTTCTTGCGGTAAACATTACGAATTATAATAATCGAATATAAATCATGCATCTTTCTCACTGCGAGCCAGCAGGGGGCCGAGTGACGCCACGGTGTTATATATGTATTTATATGTATGTTAGGAAATGAATCTTGTAGCTCAATAGTATGGGAAATCAATGATGCAATGATTAAATTGGTTTTTAAAAAGTAGTGATATAATTTAATTTTAGAATAATTATGGTGCCGAGGTATCAGACCCGCCAGAACCAGGCCCCAGCGTACGGCGCCTCGCGTTTCACGCGCGCCTCAAGGAGCCATCAGACCACCACGGATGGGGCCTAATAGGGCTGATGCCGATACGGTGCCGTGGAGAACCTAACGGGTTACCGGGGGTCCAACTCGACGTGCAGGAGAAGAAACGGGGTGGTTTTTAGTCAGTAAGTCTGACACTCCCTCTCGCCCTGACCTGGGCGGGAGAAGTCATTGGATGATTGTCTCACCTTAAAAAAAAAGTATCAAACCAAAAACTATCTAATCTGCAGTCGTTTTTGCCATGCACTAGAGTAATTCATAACTTTATTAAAAAGAGGCTTTGCTCAGCAGTGGGCACTTATAAGCTGTTGGTGTAATATGTATGATGTATTAAAACAAAGAGTATTCAAAAATTATACGTAGCTAATTTTTGAATAAACCTTACTAGCGACCCGCACCCGCCCCGGCTTCGCAGGGGTGCAATATGCGTGTATTATACATATAAACCTTCCGAATCACTCTATCTATTAAAAAAAACCTCATCAAAATCCGTTGCGTAGTTTTAAAGATCTAAGCATACATAGGGACAGACAGACGGCGGATGGCGACTTTGTTTTATACTATGTAGCGATAGTGATAGTCCTATCCAGGAACTCGATTAAAGCAATATGTCCCTAACATGGCCTCTAGGATATTGAATAATTTTCTATTATACATAACATAACATCAAAAATGATTAACCGGCTTACATGTAGGTATGACCAGATAGATACATGAGGGCAAGGAAGTATGTAAGGATTGTAATAGGAGGGTCTTCTATAGGTAGTTTTTGTTACTAGTTATCACCATGGAACAAAGGGGTTAGTTTATGTGTACATACTTTGATAGGTACATGTTCAAATACTCAAACACCACTCAATTTTAAGACGTGCTTAAGTATAGTTCTGTCTCTACAACGTGTAGCAGGTTCGATTCCCGCACTGAGCAACACTTGGTGTGATCCAAAAATTGAGTAGTCTTTCAGTATTTGGGTCAGCCTATCACATCATATAGAAGTAACATTACTTCTATGACGTTATGTTATAAATCCTATTATAACTAAGAGTGACTCTAATGCCATAGAATCTGTAAATGATCCTGGAACAATTTTAGACTCCATGCTAACTAGCTTGTTCTGGTAATCAGAGGTCACCACTCGAAGGAACAGATAGATGAAGATGAACCGGTGCAATTACATATTATCGGAATAAACTTGGAGTAATTTATTACCAACGACGGTGTCCAATTTTGATACCACGGCGAAGACGACACAGCCAGGCTATCTTCTAGTATAGGACGAAGATAAGACAAGTCTGAAGTAAGGATTTATGAGACAGTTGATATTGGAACAGCGATCCGAAATATTAATGAGGGGAGATACCATTATTATTACTCCCATCTGTCTAGTCTCCACACACTTGATATATTTAGTGGATATACAGGCACCTAGCACATTAAGCTACCCTATATGTCAATAGACTTCCAACTTTACTAATTTATGATAAAGTTCAATCTTGACCAGACAAAGGATTGCTGATTACAATTTATACGTATGTATGAGCAGTGCATGTATATGGGATCATCTCCCACAATAGTGAGAGGCAATATCTCAAATTTTCAGCACAATCGGTATCACAATCCCAACAATATATCGTTTCGTGCTGCGTCGTAATAAATCCGCTATGGCAGCGCACGCGCATGATTTAGTGCGCGCACAACTCCAAGGAAA